CTCCTCTCCTCTCCTCTCCTCTCCTCTCCTCTCCTCTCCTCTCCCAGTAGGAACCTCTCCTTTTCTTCTTGCTGGAGGTACTCTGATGTTCTCCCCCAAAGATTATTTGGCCACATTTCTACAGCAGGTCACTTTGGCTCCTTAAAAACTGTGCTTTGGCGCAGAGACAGCAGCGAGTTTGCCCCGCACAGTTTGTGTGCTACTGTGACATACGTAGTAAATAAGCGTGAGGGTAATTATACCAASAGGAATTCTGGGAACATTGCCAGAAGGAAGGGAACAGCCAGCCCTCCGTGTATTAAAAAAAAAAAATAAAAAATAAAATAAAATCACCCCTTACCCTCCCCCTCCAACCTCGAATTAGTTATATCTCTTGAAGCCACGATGAGACTTGGAACTAAAAATACATACATACACACAAATACACACGCTCGTATATAAAAATAACTAGCGTTCAGAAAAGAAAGCATCCCAAGTYAGGTTCCTGTATCCAAAATTAAGCTCTTAAATAAATAAATTAGTCTGCTTTTCAGAAGCACAGAGCAGTGAATGGCTTTCAGTGGCATAAGAGGAAGCGTCGTGTTGCTATAGATTGAAGATCAGGCCTGAATATGGATTTGAAAGTCTAATTATAGACTCCTGTTTGCTACCAGCTTGACCGAGAACAACAAATTTCAGGTGAAATGACATTGATTTCTTTTTTTTTTTTCTCAGCGTTTGTCTACACTTAACAAGTGTTAGTAGGGGGAAAAAAAAAGTCAAGCAAATCAAATACCCCAAAGAAGATGCAGATATACTGGAATAAAACTGCTTACACCCCTGCTTGTACTTTCCCATTTGGAAATAAGTATTAATGGTGTTACACCTGGGTGAAATTTTATATTGAGTAATTAAGGGGGGGTCTTAGTAGTTGTTAAAAGCCTGCCAGGTAGAAATGCTGCTGTTTTCCCATTGCTCTAACATGTTCGCTGCTGAAATCTGCCTGCCTCACTGGCATCAAGGGGAAATGTCTTATTCCTGTCTTCCTTTTTGTTAGGTTTAGGTTTGAAGGATGCTAAAGAGAGATCAACATATTTTTGCATGGGGAAAAAATATAGATATTTCRGGCCTAATTTATGCTACCATACTGCAGAGGTCACAGTCTTGCTTGGTAAGTGGGTAGGGACAGATATCTGCTGCTGGATCTTCCAGCATGGAGCAGATTGGCCATGGTTGGGTCTTACCGTATCCAGGAAATGTCCYGGGTACAGGAACACTGGCTGGTAGAGTGGCACTTCACTGGGGGGTTTTGGGTGGTGGTTGTTTGAGGCCTGACTTAGCACTGAGACATCTGGGTTCTGCTATTGACCTGTTTTGGGGACTTGGAAGAGAGCCCTTTTTGTGCTCTGWGCCACTGTGTCCTCATCTTTGGAATGAAGATAATCATCCCTAAAAGGTTGTGGGCTCAACAGCCAAGAGACTTAGACTTAGTTGGTTTTGCTGTCACTCTGGCTGCTGTTGGAGACAGGATCCAGGGTTTACATCAGTCTAATCCATTTTCATGTTCTTTTATGCTTGTTGCCACCATGAACAAGTTGCATCTTTTCTCAGGGGCATGCTAGAAATGGACTTGTTTAAGCTGCATGGATGGTGTGAATCCCAAGAGATCAAACTAATAATAATGATAATGATGATGATAATTGCAGGACATGGTGGCCCTTCTGCTAGTTTCTCTCTCCTCATTCTTTTTAGGTGGCCCAATGGCACCAGAGACATCTGGAGTGCTCATAAAAACAAAGATGGCCTTAAAAATCACCAGCCAATGGAGGCAGCTGGGGGGRCAGTATGAAGAGCAGAGATTTGCAAGAAATGATCTATGAAAAGGGACTGAAAGAAAACAGTTTTTTTTTTCAGTTTGAAGGAAAGGAGATTGAGGAGTTACGTGATAACTATGTACAAAGAGATAAAATACTGTTGCAGAGAGGGGGAATAAATTCTTGACCCTGTCCATAGGTGAAATGATGAGAAATGACCAGCATAACCTTCAGGAAAGAAGTTTAGCCTTCATCTGGTAGGAAGGTTTGAAATGGGTTCCTGGGAAAGGGTGAGCCCGTGCAAGATGTTCAGGTCAGGCTGGGTGAACATGTCACAGGAGAAAGTTTGGGAGATGATGCTCTCTTTTGGGCTTGGACAGCTCCTCGTAGGCACACCAAGCTTTATTTTTCAGTGGTTCTGTGTCTCTGATGCTATTACATTTCTTTGCTTTCTGCTTTAACCATAACGACTGACATCCCCGAGCTCTTCCGTATATGATAAATTACACTTCTTTCTTTTCAGATGCTCACATAGAGAGGACAGGCTTTCCATGTCATTTAGGGCATTTAACAGGTCTCTCCATGGGTATTTCCACCCTGCTCAGGCTCTGCCCGATCTGTCACACCAGTATGGGTAACACCACCGTTACATGAGCATTGAGTTCTCTACATGAGTGTCGAGCCCCATCTGGTGGCTTTCTTGAGACATTTCTTGTGTCCTCTGTTCTTTYTTTTTTTTTTTTTTTTTTTTTTTGGTCATCTGTGGTTGTGAACTGAGAATGTAAAGGAAGGACGTTGTGTCTCTGGAAGGGCTACTTCTGCTTCTCTCCTTGCTCCTGGTTCCCAGGCTGCAGCTTGTGGATATGGGAGCTATCAAAGCTTAGATCCTTTCCTCTCTTGCTCCCTGAGAAGTCTTGCTTCTGGTGACATGGAGTGATGTAATCATCGGAATTGTGGTGCAAGTTAATGTTTTCCCACTCTTGCAATGCAAAATTCGTGTATTCTCAGATCCTGCAGGGGYTGATGTTAGAGCCAAAGATACCTAAGTCCATCCCAGACTCCCTTTCCCCCATACAGCCTCCTTCTCTGCATACACCTTGGGTTTTGCTGCAAGCYGGGGCCTCACACTTGGCTTTTCCCTCTCTTTGCTGCAGATATATACGAACCATGTACCTGGGGATCCAGAGTCAGAGACGGAAGGAACACCAGCGGCGTTTCTACTGGGCTATGATGTACGAATATGCAGACGTAAATATGTTGCGCCTCCTGGAAACCTTCCTGGAGAGCGCCCCTCAACTGGTGCTACAGCTCTGCATAATGATCCAAAAGAACCGTGCAGAAACATTACCATGTAAGTGGTCCCCTCGCACCTCCTTCCCCACCCTCCTGGCTTCCCCCCTCTGATCCATATGCACAGCTGCCGATGGATGTTTTGTTAAAGGTCCATACTACGCAACCTGTTGTGTAAGGGGTTCCCACTTTGGACAAATCTCATTCCAAGCTCCACACTGCAGTTACACGGTAAATTTCTGTTTGTTTTGCTGAAGAGAAACAGTCTCAATCAAAATATGGCATTCAGCTCTTCCAAACCTGGTCCAGTCTAGAGATATGCTGATATTTTCAGAAGGAGTCAGTCATTCTGTATTACTCTTGCAAGTTGCCAATATACATTTGTATGCCTGACACTGAGCAAACACAATCCTCCTCTGCCTCAGTTTCTCTCCAAACATACATGGAATGATAAAATTGGCCAGATTTGGATTTGTGTTGTGAGGTTCAATGCCTGTGCAATGCCCCAGTGGTGTAAAGTTATAATAGAAGGGACTTGGTTTTACAGATTTAAGTTATAGGATCATTTTTAAAGAGTGCCTAGGAATTAAAGCTTGTTCATTGATACTGAAATTCTCAATAAGTTTAAGAAAGAAGGAAAAGGAAGGCAGTTGGGGTCTGCATTGTGACAGAGATGTTCCAGAGCAGGTGTCATTGCTAAGACACTTTCTTAGACAAACAGAAGTTTGGAAGCCACCACAGAAATCAGTTTGCCAGTTCCATGCTGCAGTGACATTCTGGAGCATGGGCAGTGAGGCCAGCTACAAACTGCAGCCAACAGCATATGCCCATGTCCCAATCCTGCCATGAGCAACTCTACCAGACCTGTGCCCATTGACAAGCTGGTGGCCTAAGAGTCACCAGCTTGAGAAGGAATGGTCCTTTCCAAGGATCAGCAGCGCTTTCAGTTGATGAGATGCTGKTTTTTTTCAGCTCCTGTTCAATCCACACACAGTGAATAGCACTGAGGTAATATTTCCCAAAGACTGCCATGCCCAGCATATCTGAGGAGTCTTCTGGCAGTTGGTTTGGAAACAAGCAGCAACTTTGGTTTAAATTTGCTTGTTAGCCCAAGATCAGCTGTATGAGTCTCAGCCAGAGCATTAGTGAGCTTGGACCGTTGTCTCCTTCCTCCCAGTTATCCATTATGTCTGTTTCTAGACRCCTCCTTCTCCTATTTACGCAGTTCTCTTCTGAAACTTTTCATCACAAGATCTCCAGGCCTCAAAACTGCTGACACAAGGATCTCACAGCTTTTCTACAAGTTCTACTACAGTGACTCCCATTTGCCAGTACCTTTTTTATTTCCTGCTGCTTCTAATGTTTATTATTAACCCTACCAGAGGTATATAAATCATGAGTGAGGAGGCTTGCTGGAGCCTTATGCAGATTGTTGGACTCACCACATCAAAACACTGGGTGAATTCATTGGCCTCTCACTCCCTTCCTTCGTGAAGTTGAACAACATGCCCTAAGAATCCCTCTAGGCTTAAAAATCCACAAGTTCAGTTTGCCACATGCAGGCATGGCTGCCCTRATCCACTGCATCGTTTTTCCTCCTTCCTTCAGCCACGCTGCTGTTTGGTTCCTACACAGAAGTGAGCAAGCTGTGCTCTCTTCCAAGCAGCACATGTGCCTGCCTGATGCACCTGCCTCTCTGAGCCCTGGAGGGCTCTTTGCCTGGCTTGCTGCAGCAGATGAGCTCTCCAGGTCCCCAAAGCACCTTTTCCCTTCCCCGGTGGTTGTATCTCCCTCCTTCTGGCCACAGTGTCACTGTGCAAAAGGAAATTAAATGCTGAGAGGACTCATTATGAAAGGGAGCACCAAAGGTTTTGCCTTGAAGAAGGGAGAAGACAAAGGAAATGGAGAAAGATATTATTAGAAAGTGGTTGTGCTTAGAAATCAAATCGGGTTTTGTTTGGTTCCTTGTGCCTACCTAATCGTGGCTTGTTACACAGTACAAGAAGAGACTAATTCTGCCTCTAAGCAGAAACAACGTCAGCTACATCACTGGGAGATGCAGACTGGCAAACTGGCCCACAGCAGGGCTTATAAACTCAGGTATAGCTCATGCTGTCTTTTTCCATATGATTCACATAGTCCCTTACGTACTCAGTCCTAGATTAAGAATAATTTACCTGCTCTTTCCTAGATTAAGAATAATTTACCATTTTCCATGGTAATTTCTATTTTCCATCCTTCTAAGCCCCCATTTTCCCTGTTGTTAAGACCACAGTCCCAAACCTACTACTGGAAGCTAAGCTAGGGTCTTCTACAAATTGCCAGCTAATGTCTTCATGTCCTATTTAAGAATTTGTGGAAAGTGAGTAATGGCTATTAGAAAATTTTACTTTTTCCTTCTTGTTCCCATGCTAGGGTTTTCCAAAGGCAGGTAGGAATTTCTTCTGGTACCAACTTCTAGTTCTTTCAGTACCGTTCAGTACGTGCAAGTACACAAGGGAAATGGGTCTCTGCTCACCCAAGAACAGATATCTCCCTTGTGATCTGTCCATCACCAACAGCAGACATGCTAGAGTTGGAACTTCAAGTCAAGCCCCAGCCTTTGTAAAGTTTGGAATTGCTCCCTCCCTGAATTTTTGTCAAGGTCAGATTTCTTCTTTTAGAACATCACTGATACAAGGCGGACTAGATCCCGGCTTAGCTGCCATGGCCTAATGGCTCTGCAGAGCAGAAAACAGCACGCACACATGAGACAAAAAGCAGTAAGAACTCAATGTACTCAGTCAGGTGAGCAGATCTGACCTGGAAGATGCACTCAGAGGCTGCACACAGCCTGAGCTGCAATACTCCAACCTGTGGCTTCTGTGACAACTGGGGCTACGTAAGCTCTTGAATATGTGTATGTAAGGAGCTGGTGTTCCTATGTGAGCCCTTTGCAAACAATTCATCTCTTACAAGTACAACAGTCTGTCCCAAACAGAGTGTTGGAGGAAGGATGCCTCCAAACACGGATTAGTCCATGTCCAAARGTACCCAAGGAGGTGAGATGACATGCACACCCTCCATCAGTACTTTTCTCCAGGGCATTTTAGTGGACTAAACACATACTCTTTAGCTATCTAGTCCTATCCTTTGTTCATTGTGACTGTCTCTAAGGTTTTGTAGGTGACAGAAAAAAAGGGTGTCCATTTCCCCTGTATTTCTGGGTGGCCCTCGGCAGAGGATTTCTCTGACGTGACTCAGATGTAAGTCACATTCTGTCTTTAGGAGAAAACATTGCCAAAACAATAAAACCCCAGATCTTCAGTTCATAATTACTCCTAGAAGATAATCCACTTAAATTCTTAGAGAATAAACTATCCTTGACCCATCTCTCCCTGCAGAGGTGCGTGCGTCTYGCCACTGAATGGAAAGCAGTAAGTATAACCAGCTTACAGGCAATGTCCAAATACTAGATATTTAATGAAATGAGAGGGATTCTGCTTTTTCAGCATAAATCTCCTCTTAAATGGGTTTTCTTATTTTTTTGTGTGGTTACTTTAAGACTTATTAAGATTTAGCAGAACCTCTGATGTCCTTCCACTCATGTCGTGAGTGTTTGATGCAATGCTTTTGCTGGGAATTTGTCTGCCTGAGGCTGCAGTATTCAAAACAACATTTTCCCCATAAAAAGAACCGTCTATTTACCGATGCTTGAGCTGTCTTTCCCAAAACCCTGCTGTTGATCTTAAAGAGATTTTCAGCATAAGTCTTCATTATGCAAAGTCTTATAGAAATCTCTGGGATTTTCAGAGGTGCATGCACTCTCTGCAGCCTGCAATAAGTAGTCTGAAGCTGCTCAGATGTTTAAGAAAAAACAACATTAGCTTTACCCTGTCTGGGGGTCACTGTTTGAAGCAACRTGAAATAGGTTAGACGCTAAAAGGAGTTTTAGTCATCTCAACTGTGGATATGTGTTGGCAGCTGCAGAGTTATCATGAAGTTATCACATGTTGGTTGCAGACCTTGAAAATGGAGTAGCCACGTCCTGATGTCCTTCCCAAAGCAAAATTTAGCAAAATTACACTACCCCCTCAAAAAAATAAAAAAAAAAATAAAAAAAAAGATAACTTTGATCAGAAATGTCCCTCAGAGATGGTACAGAAAGAGTGAGGATGGGACCTCAAAGTGATCTCAGTAGTAGCCAGTGATAGGACAAGGGATAATGGGTATAAGCTGAAACACAGGCAGTTCCATCTCCAGGTGAGGAGGAACTTCTTCACTGTGAGGGTGACAGAGCCCTGGAACAGGCTGCCCAGGGAGGTTGTGGAGTCTCCTACTCTGGAGGTCTTCAAAACCCGCCTGGATGCTGCCCTGTGCCACATGCTSTAGGTGTGCCTGCTTGAGCAGGAAGGTTGGACTAAATGATCTCTAAAGGTCCCTTCCAACCTTAAGCATTCTGTGATTCTGTGACAAAAATAAATGCTTTTCCCCATTTTCAGCCATGTGAGGCTGAAAGAAGGTTATGGGAAGTAGTCAACATGGATGTACAAATGGGAAACCTTGCTTTACCAATCAGGAATCAGGATGGATGAGGGGAGAGAACTGGATGTTGTCAACCTTGACTTCTGCAAGGCTTTTGATGCTGACTCACTGGGCATCCTGGTGGACAAAAAGTTGACCATGAACCAACATGTAGCACTTGTAGCYAAGAAGGCCAATGGAGTGCTGGGGTGCATTAGAAAGAGCACTRCTAGCAGGTCAAGGGAGGTGATCCTGCCCCTCTACTCAGTCCTAGTAAGGCCACATCTGAAATGCTGGGTCCAGGGCTAGGCTCCCTTTGGAAGGTGGAGGCCCTTGGGAGAGCTRAGGATTGTCCCTTGTTGTTATTGCCAAGAGAAGTCATTCCCAGCTGTCTCACGATCAGCCARCTTCAAGATAAACACTTTGCACATGAATGAGGGATTTCTTGTGTGGGTGATAATGAGTTAAAGCTAATGCCAAGATAAATCTCAGTTAATTTCTCCTGATGGCAACTCTAAAGTTAACCAATAATATACAGCAGATAGTGAATATGCTATG